AAATGTCCCTGAACAAGTGAATGGATAAACTAAATTAAGATATATTTATACAATGAATATCACTCAGCAACAAAAGGAAACAATTTTTATATGTGCAGCAATCTAGATGGATCTCTAATTATGTTGTGTAAAGGCTAAAACATTAAAAAAAAAAACCTGAGTGATTTCCTTTATACAATAGGATATAAACGAAGTGATTCAGGTTATATGAAATTTTAGAAAGTCAAATCAATCTGTAGTAAGAGAAAAGCACCTGAGTGATTTCCTTTATACGATAGGATATAAACGAGGTGATTCGGGTTATACGAAATTTTAGAAAGTCAAATCAATCTGTAGTAAGAGAAAACACGTTGGAGGTTGCCTAGGGAAGGAAGTGGATGTTTGGATGGATTACAGAAGGACATGAGGGAACTCTAGGGGGGTGGGGTGTATGATGGAAATGTTTATTGTCTTCATTTTGGTGATGGTTTCACAATGCATACATATAAGTAATCGAATTGTGTACTTTAAATACTAATCAATCATTGTATATAATATATCTTGAGAAAGCTATAAAAACTTTTTAAAATTATGGCAGGTCTTCAGTTTATGGAGTTTATATTAATATATTTATCATAGGAACTAGCCACAATTGACGGATTGGTAATAAAGGAGGGAAAGGAAACTATATCAAGCTTTCTTTGTTGAAGGCTCATATATTCCTTTTTTGAGCTATTATACAACTTTACTTTTTATAATTACCTACACTATTCATATACTACTATGCAGGTAAGAATATTATGTAAGTAAAGGGAAGGAACTTCTTTCCAAGAATGGTTCATTCAATTTGTTTTGTTACTTTAGGTCTTGTTCTATCCTCTTGTTGCAAGCTTTGCTGTGACATTTACCCTCTCTTAATACAGCTTTTGGCACTAGGCGCTTCACTTGGAATTTCTTCCTTTGTCCAGCATCAATGGATAAGACAAATATCGAAATTCTATTTTATCCCATGTATCAATTAGAGGAAAGGTGAATGCATAACACTGAAAATAACAGAAACTGTTTTACTCAGTTTTGTTTTTGTTTTTGTTTTTGTTTTTTACAGTGGTTCTCAAAGTGCTGTTATCTATCAAAATCAGCTGTGAAAATTTTTAAAAATGTAGACTCCTGGGCTCTAAACTAGACCAACTAAATCAGAGATTTGGGGGACATAGCTTGAATTCTTGATTTTTTTTTAAGTTTTATAAGTAATTCTTCATTTGTTGTTCTTTGCAACAAATATGCATTGAGTGCTTATAATTAAATGTTAAGCACCAGGACTAGGTATTAATTTAGAGGTACAAAAAACACATCATCTCTTGCCTTTAAATTATTCATGTCTAATATCTATTGAGAGAAATAGATCCTTCTAAAAGCACACAAAGATAAAAGGCACAAATTGTAATAACAAACAATGCCAAATCCCTAAGAGAGTCAGGGAAGGCTTCAGATGAGATTGGGTGTGTTCAGGACGGTATGGCCATAGACAGGCCAGGGAAGGCTTCGATAAGAAAGTACCATTTTAACAGACACCTGGAGGAAGAATCAAAGTCAGAGCAAAGATAAAAGTGCGTCACACAGAAGGAATATCATAGACAGGGGAAAAATGTGTGTCTTCGGGAAACTGAAAAAGGGGAAAGGGCCACACCTTGGTGAGGGGACCAAGTGGCATGAGATGAAGCAGGAAACATAGACAAGGGCATCCTTGTTTAACAACTGCTGGCTTAATAAAGCAAATGTGTGATGATGGATACAGGCTGTCTGGGAAAAATAAGTGAGAAATATGAGCTTTCTTGGAGCATCATCCTTTGCTTCAGTAGAAAGCACAGAGTTAGGCTTCCAATTCTGACTAAAGCCATTGTCAACAGGGAAAAGGCAACCTTAGCAATTCTCCTCTCTGTCCAGGATCCCGTGGGCACTATGATGGAGCTCATGAGATGCAGAAGAGAAGTTCCAGGCTGAATCGGGGGCATATTCACTCAGGAGAGCTGAGGTCCCCAATCACTGAGGTCATCCAGTGCATTCCCAACAACATAGGCTCATTCTAAACTAGCTCTGCAAAGGAGCAGAAAATAAACTCTTGGAAGCAAAGCAAGCACTCCCACTTTAGCAGAATGATAAAATTTAACTCTTAGAAGTCCCCCGCCTTTTCTAAGGGTAATAATCATAAGTATAACTTATGAAGTGCTTCTGTGTATGTGAGAGCATATACTACTTTTGATTCTTCCTACAAACCTGGTAGGAAAATATTACTCCCTTTATGAAGATGAAACTGAGGCTCAGCAAGATTAAGCAGTTTGCCTAAGACCTCATAGCCATTAAGTAGAAGACATTGGGTTCAAAGTTCAATCTATGAACCCAACATTTTTAACGCTATATACCATTCTTTTTGTATTAGTTTTCTATTGCTGCTGTAACAAATTTCCACAAACTTAGTGGCTTAAGACGACAGAAATGTATTCTCTTCCAGTTCTGGAGACTGACGTCTAAAATAGATCCATAGGGCTGTGTTCCTTGTGGAGGTTCCAGGGGAGAAGGGGTTTTCTTGCTCTTTCCAGTTTCCAGGGTCTGCTTCCATCCTTTGGCTCATGGCCTCCTTCTTCTACCTTCCAAACCAGCACCATAGTGTCTTTAAATATCTTTCTTCTGTCTCCTTTCACCCTCTTACCTCCCTTTTATGAGGACCCTTGTGACTACATTTAAGGCCCACCTAGATAACCCAGGATAATCTGTACATCTCAAGATTCTTAATCACATCTGCAAAGCCCTTTTACCATTACAGGTAACATTCACAGGCTTCAGGGATCAGAACATGGATATCTTTGAGAGGTCCTTACTTAGCCTACCACACTTTTCCATATAGATTCTCAAAATTTTAGCTGAGCCTAACAGGGTAGTTTATTACCACTAGGGTCCAGTTTAGTAGCAAGTGCTTCCTTTAAGTGAAAAGGTGAAAGTTGTCCACTTAATAAGGAAAGAAAAACATTGTATGTTAAAGTTGCTAAGACCTAAGGTGAGAAGGAATCTTCTAACGATGAAATTGTGAAGAAGGAAAAATAAATCTGTGCTAGTTTTGTGGTCACATTTCAAACTGCAAAAGTTACAACCACAGTGCATGCTAAGTGCTTATTTAAGAGGGGAAAGGCATTAAATTTGTGGGTGGAAGATGTGAACAGAAATGTGTTCTAGTTGACAGCTATCAGGTTTGGTACTATCTGAGGTTGGCTATTGGCTAATGTCCTGGAACATGTCCCCCACAGATACGTGGGTGACTACTGTATATTCAAAGTAAGCATTTATATATTGGGGAGTAGATCTCCCAACTCATTATTTATTTTTTATTTGTCCCACAAATAAAGTAAACAAAGTAGAATTTTAGGCAAGATTCATTTCTAGAGATAGAGATATTTTATTATAATAAGAAGGTTGCTCTACCATAAAATACAGCAATTTAACTTTTTATAATCCTGATAACCTCAAAATATATAACATAATAGATGGACAACATTATAAAAAGAAATAGACAAATGTACAATAAATAAAATATTTTAATACAACTCATTTAGTATCTAGTAAAACAAGTAGTCCCCCCAAAATCAGTAAGCATCTAGAAGATTTGAATAACTATTAACAGATTGGATTCACTGACTGATCTCTTTACAAGAAAGAATTATGCATGATGATGGGAGAGATGAAGTCACAGCACAGGCACTTACTGATTAACTAAATTTTGAAGCTATGAAATGCAGCTCCTCCTTTAGTGAAAGATGATATAGATAGCTTAGTTTCCTTCAAACTAGCAGAGACTTTTTGAATGGATGGAAGCTGATTTTTTAAAAAGGAGCTTATTTCTGACGCATCTTTTAAAGCAGGTTTCCTCAGCCCCTGGGCCATGAACCGGTACTGTCCGGTGGCCTGTGAGGAACTGGCCAGAACAGTAGAGGTGAGCGGCCAAGCATTACTGTCTGAGCTCCACCTCCTGTCAGATCAGTGGCAGCATTAGATTCTCACAGGAGCAAAACCCCTATTGTGAACTGTGCATATGAGGGATCTAGGTTGCGTGCTCCCTATGAGAACCTAATGCCTGATGATCTAAGTGGAACCGTTTCATCTCAAAATCATTCCCCTGCACCCTCCATTCCAGGAAAAATCGTCTTCCACAAAACCAGTCCCAGGTGCTAAAAAGGTTGGGGACCACTGTTCTAAAGGAATCAGTCCTTTTGCTATTATTATTATTATTATTATTATTATTAAGATGGAATCTTGCTCTGTCACCCAGGCTGGAGTGCAGTGGCACAATCTTGACTCACTGCAACCTCTACCTCCCGGGTTCAAGCAATTTTCCTGCCTCAGCCTCCTGAGTAGCTGTGCACAGGCACATGCACAGGCACATGCAATCATGCTCTGCTAACTTTTTGTATTTTGGGAGAGACAGGGTTTCACCATGTTGGCCAGCCTGGTCTCAAACTCCTGACCTCAAGTGATCCACCCACCTTAGCCTCTGAAAGTGCTAGAATTACAGGCATGAGCCACCACTCCTGCACCCCTTGGCTATTACTGAAGTGTTCTTTTTCTTTTTTGATCACATCTATGTAGTATATTGGAGAGAAAGAAAGTAGAATGGGAATTTCAACAGGGTCACGGTGGCTCATTCCTGTAATCCCAACACATTGGCAGGCTAAGGTGGGCAGATGACCTGAGGTCAGGAGTCGAGACCAGCCTGACCAACATGGTAAAACCCCGTCTCTACTAAATATACGAAAATTAGCCAGGTGTGATGGTGGGCACCTGTAATCCCAGCTACTCAGGAAGCTGAGGTAGGGACAATTGCTTGAACCCACGAGGTGGAGGTTGTAGTGAGCCAAGATAGTGCCACTGCACTCCAGCCTGGGTGATGGAGCCAGTCTCTGTCTCAAAAAAGAAAAAAAAAAGTATGGTAATTTCTTCATTAACTTTGATGCTGCTATGGTCTTGATCTCCAGGTCAATGCAATGCCCCGGAACAGCTTCCATTTGCCAGGCCTACCGAACTAATTGATGAGTCTGAGTTTTCCATTGGGACACATCTGAAGTATGAATGTCGCCCTGGTTATTATGGAAGACCGTTTTCTATCATCTGCCTAAAAAACTCAGTCTGGACAAGTGCTAAGGACAAGTGCATACGTAAGTAACTCTGGAGTGGGAACCCCTCTGTCAGTCAAACATCTGTAAGATCTGATTCAATTTGTTCAAATTTTGTGACTGAGTTGCATATGACAATTAGTTTGCCAAGGTGCAAAATATATAAGAGAATTATTCTTGTAGATCATACCTTGTTACTGCTTTGAGTTCCTGGAGCCTTCATTACAAGTTTATTTCATGAGAAACAGCCATCACAGGACATGATTGAGGGAAAATCCCCATTCACTGGGGGTCTCCCATTTACATGACTAAAATTAAGTAATGAATGACTTGGGACAAGAAAGGGAAGTGGATTAAATAACTAAAAGATGTGATAATCTTGGGCTTTGAGATCTTTGGATTATACCAGTTGAATTGAATTACAGATAATAACAAAGTTTACATTTTTCTGGGAGGCATAATATGGGAATGAAACAGATCTGAAAGGGAAGTTTTTTATGAAAGGGAGCTGATCCCAAGGTAGTCTAGTGAGTTTCCTCAAGGTAAGAAAATCTGTGGAAACATCAGAACTGCATGTGTTCAGTAAGCTACAGGCAGGTTGAGACCTTATGTACTAAAAAAAATTTGCAGTTTACTCTACTTGGCTCCAAAATTCTGTTTCTTTCCTGTAGGTAAATCATGTCGTAATCCTAGAGATCCTGTGAATGGCATGGTGCATGTGATCAAAGACATCCAGTTCGGATCCCAAATTAATTATTCTTGTACTGAAGGGTGAGTTGGCAGCAACATCTCTTGGTTCAAGAGTTCTAGTACAGCCATACTACCTTCTAGTCACATCTCAGAAAGGACAACTAAGCTATTACCATCTGCTCTTTAAAGGCTTCAACACAGGTGTTTAGCTCCTGACTGAAATGAGCAAAGGTATGACAAGATCAGGGGAAAATCGTCTGTATCCTTGCTGGAAACCAAGGCTGTGCAAATATGAAAAGTGTGACATTCATTGGGTGGGAAGGACGAAAATGGGGGAGAGTATAGTCAAAGCACACAAACAGCCTTAACCCAGAGTAGACCTTGCTGGGAAAAAAGGAAGGCCATTGAGTAGCTGTGTGAGAGAAATCTGAATGCTCATAGCACAAGTAGTTTGCTAGGGCTGCTGTAACAGAGTACTCCAAAATGGGTGGCTTAATACCAATGAAGTTTTTGGAGTTCTGTTCTGGAGACTGAAAGTGCAAAATCAAAGTGTTGGCAGAGCCATGCTCCCTCTAAAACCTGTAAGGATGAATCCTTCTTTGCTTCTTCCAGCTTCTGGAGCCCCAGGCCTTCCTTGGCGTGTGGCAGCCGAACCCCAGTTTCTGTCTCTGTCTTCACATGGCTGTCTTCCCTCTGGATCTCTGTCCTCACATGCTGTTCTCCTGTCTGTGTATGTCTGTGTCCAAAGTTCTCTCTTTTAATAAGGACACCAGTCATATTGGATTAATGCCCACACTAACAACTTCATCTTAACTGGATTGCCTCTCCAAAGACCACATTTCCAAATAAGATCACATTAATAAGCACTGTGGATTAAGACATCAATATATTTCGGGGGTGAGGGGGATACAATTTTCATTCATTGCTGGTAGGAATGCAAAATGGTACCATGACTTGGAGAGAGAATTTGGCAGTTTTTTTAATAAAACTAAACATACTCTTACAATATTATCCAGCAGTTATCCTTTTTGGTATTTATCCAAAGGAATTGAAAACTCATGTTCACACCAAAAAAAAAAAAAAAAAAATTCTGCACACAGATGTTTATAACAGCTTTATTCATAATTGCCAAAACTTGGAAGGAATCAAGATGTCATTTAGCAAGGGAATGGATAAACTGTGGTACATCCATACAATAGAATATTATTCAATACCAAAAAGTAAATGAGCTATCAAGCCATGGAAAGACACAGAGGAACCTTTTAGTGAATCTTTTTTCACTGCCACTAAGTGAAAGAAGCCAATCTGAAAAGGTTACATAACATATGATTCCAAGTATATGCCATTCTGGAAAAGGCAAAACTATGGAGACAGTGAAAAGATCAGTGGTTGTCAGGGGTTAGGGAAGAAGCAGGGATGAATAGGCAGAGCACAGAGGATTTTGAGGGTAGTGAAACTACTCTGTATGATGCCATAACAGCAGGCACATGTCATAATAAATTTATCCGAAGTCATATAGTGTACAATACCAAGAGTGTACCCTAATATAAACTATGGACTTGGAGTGACCATGATGTGTCAGTGTAAGTTCATCAGTTGCAAAAAATATGTACCACCCTGGTGAAGGCTGTTTATAATAGGCGAGGCTATCCATGTGTAGGGGCAGGGAGTACGTAGGAAATCTCTGTATCTTCTGTTCATTATTGCTGTGAACCAAAAACTGTGCTAAAACACAAAGTCTATTTTTTAAAACTGCATAGACATAAATACACAGGCACATGTGCATAAACATACATGCACACAAATAAGTACAGGTAAAACAGGAAATTTGAACAAAATGTATGGATTAGAACTATGTCAATATCTTAATGTTGATGTTGCACTATTGTTTTGCAAAATGTTATTATTAGGGGAAAATTGAGTAAAGTGTACCTGGGATCTCTCTGTACTATACCCTGCATGTGAATCTGATTATCTCAAAATAAAAAGTTTTTTTTAAGTTCCTACTATATTTCCAAGGGGATGGGCTTCCCCTCAGATCACTACCCCTTTTCCGGGAGCAATAAAGTAATCTTCCTTGGAACGTAGCAATCTGCAACAAATCAAAGTGCTGTAACTACTCATGGTCCCATATGGAAAATATAATCCTGCTAAAATTTCTCTCTCTCTGCCTATATGAGTGATACTTTACATCCTCCACTTTGGAATGCTGACCCCATTCATTCGGAGTTGGAGTCTTCCATGTGGCTACCTTTAAGCTTTGTGCTCAAATAAACTCTATCCTTAAATATATTTTCTGGATCTCATTATTTAAGGTTGAAAATATGCTAACCGCTGGGTGCAGCAGCTCATGCCTGTAATCCCAGCACTTTGGGATGCCGAGGCGGGTGGATCACCTGAGGTCGGGAGTTCAAGACCAGCCTGACCAACATGGAGAAACCCCGTCTCTACTAAAAATACAAAATTAGCCAGGCATGGTGGTGCATGCCTGTAATCCCAGCTACTCGGGAGGCTGAGGCAGGAGAATCACTTGAACCCGGGAGGTGGAGGTTGCAGTGAGCCGAGATCGCGCTATTGCACTCCAGCCTGGGCAAAAAGAGCGAAACTCCATCTCAAAAAAAAAGAAAAGAAAAAGAAAAAAAGAAAATGTGTTAACCTAAATAATTTGCAAAATTTGTTTTTTATTCTCATTTTTTCCTAACCCATCCACCTGGTTCAAGGCACATAGATTAAGAAGGAAAATGGAAATGGGACTAATATCCCAGGCTTCACTGTCCCTCTTTGGGCTCTGGGGAGGAGACTCCCAAAAGTCTAGACATGTTTACCCACATGCTGTATGTGGTTTCTGGCAACGAAATGATCATGGCTTTTCCTGAACCATGGCTTAACTTTGTGAATCCACAACTCTCTCTTCCCTGGGAGATCCAAAAAGATAGGGTAGGATGTAAAGGCTTCAATCTGTTCAAATGGATATGAGAGCTTCCCTTACAATAAGTAGCATGGATTTCATCTCTCTGCTTTACTTCCTCATAAACATTCTGAATGAGAGGTGTTCAAACTATTATTTGTTCAGTCGCTTAATCTACTTTGAGGGACAAGTTTAATAAATTAAAATATTTTTCTATCTGTTCCCCTTGATCAGTGAACACAAAGTTATCTTTTGACTCATATTTAAAATGTTCAGTACTACAGCACTGAACAATAGTATGGAAGAAAAAAAATGCCAACTTAAATTTGAACTTGCTTCACCATTCCTATCCCAACCCCCATGATTAGAAAATCAAAAAGAACACTTTGAGAAATAACCTCAGCGAGGTCAAAAGACAGAGGAGTCTCCAGGATCCCTTATTCCTAAGACAAATAGACAGAAGGAGGCGCACATATAGGATTGCAGCCCTTCTTCACTTCATTTGTTCACATACTTCATACTTGTGTGTATGTCTGTTGGAAGTGCAATTGAAAATGATTTCATTTTTGGTGGTATACTAGAAAGCATTAAAAACAAAAATAAAATGAGGCCAGGTGTGGTGGCTGTAATCCCAGCACTTTGGGAGGCTAAGGTGGGCGGATTACTTGAAGTCAGGAATTCAAGACCAACCTGGTCAACATGGTGAAGCCCATCTCTACTAAAAATGCAAAAATCAGCCAAGTGTGGTGGCAGGCACCTGTAGTCCCAGCTGCTCAGGAGGCTGAGGCAGGAGAATCTCTTGAATCCGGGAGGTGGAGGTTGCAGTGAGCTGAGATCGCACCATTGCACTCCAGCCTTGGCGACAAGAGTGAAAATCTGTCTCAAAAAAAATAACAATAACAACAACAACAAAATGATATTGAAGTCATTAATAAGTACATCATAAATCACTACTATAATGCAACGGTGCATCAAGTGTCTTCAGAAGCACCCACTGTTGTCTAACTATTTATTTGATCTCCATTTGGCACTGTTTTGTTGTTTGAATAAAGCTTTATGTTGCCAGGTTTTCTTACATGCTCATAAAGCAAAGTTCTCCGCTAAACCAATAACCACGACTGTTATTTGATATTGCTTCATTCCTTCATGTATAGTACTATCAAGTTTGACCCTACCCTCACTATGACTAGTTTCACCCAACCATCTATCACAACAGAGTCTAAGGTGACGTAAAATAAATGTCATAAATTATTCCACATTTATGGCACACTTTGAACAGTTTGAGATATACTAATTGAGAATTGCTGACTTTAATATTTTAAGTATAAAATGAGTGCTCAATTCTTTTTGGTCAGCCTGGATTTCCTTTGCTTCTAGTTATGAATCCCCTTCCTTCCTTCCTTCCTTCCTTCCTTCCTTCCTTCCTTCCTTCCTTCCTTTCTTTCTCTCTTTCTTTCCTTTCTTTCTCTCTTTCCTTCTTTCTTTCTTTCCATCCATCTTTCTTTCTTTCTCTTTCCTTTTTTCTTTCTTTCTTTCTTTTTTTTTTTGGAAACAAGGTCTTGCTTTTTTGCCCAGACTGGAGTGCAGTGGCATGATCAGCACTCACTGCAGCCCCAACCTCCCCAGCTCAAGCAGTCTTCCTGCCTCAGCCTCCTGAGTAGCTAGGACTGCAGGAATGTGCCACCATGCCTGGATTTTTTATAAATTTTTTGTAGAGACAGTGCCTCACTGTGTTGCCCAGGCTGGTCTTGAACTCCTGAGCTCAAGCAATCCTCCTGCCTCAGCCTCCCAAAGTGCTGGAATTACAGGGGTGAGCCACTGTGAATGGCCTATTTTGGCCTTCTTTGATGAATCTTGTTGACAAAAGCCCATCCATGCATCCATACATTCACACTTTTAAGGCAAAGAAATACATTCAACACGACTATATACATACACATATACATGTATATATATGACAGCTTCCCTGCACTCAAGAAGTTTGTGTTATCTTTTAAAAAATGAAATTTGTAGGAAAAACTGTAATTCATCTTAGATTTGCATAAAAAACTGTCATAAGGTAATAAAGAAGAGAAAGCTCATCCAATTGAGAAGGTAAGAAAAAGAAAGTCCAAAAGTCCCAAGAAGAATGTGAAACTTGGGAAGGTGACAGATAATCCTTTGACAAGTAGAAAATGTCCCTCTGAATTCTGTAACAGTGTAATCTCTGGAAGTAGTAATTTAATTGGATAGTTGACCTGTGTCTTTGGAACCTAATATTCCTTATTTTTTGCCTCTAGACACCGACTCATTGGTTCCTCATCTGCCACATGCATCATCTCAGGCAATACTGTCATTTGGGATAATGAAACACCTATTTGTGAGAGTGAGTTGAAATATCCCTTCCTATTTCTTTTACTGATATATTCTAATTTTTCTCTGGAATAATAAAAACCTTAACTGAATTCCTTCTGTGCAATCTGTCCTTCACATGGCTGAAGACAGCGGTAATGTTCTCGAATATTCCTACAGGGTTCCTGGCAACCCTTTCCTTAAGTTTTTCCTTATCCTTGGATGTGTCTTTTCTAATTCTGGGGGTTTAAATACATAAAATCCTTCAAACTTGATTCTACTTCAATAAATTTGAAATTATGGGGGTTCTACCACCTCCAGTATAATAATCATCCTGCTTGGCGAATCAGTAAAGATTTTTAACATTTATGCTCTTCAAGGTTAGTGAAGCTGTGGAAGAACCTGGACTCTCACGTACCACGAGGTCAACACATCCTCTCGAAAGGCACCATGCACTATTAACCTCAGAAGTGGGCATATATTTTAACCTACTTCTTAGAATTTATACTTACAAAATAATCACACACTTTTTAAAACAGTTTGGTATAAACTTTTCATTGCAGCATCATTTATATTAGTTAAAATGTTAAAGCAACCTAAATATTTTAAACTATGATTTGGAAATAATCTACTAGGAGGAAAAAGATGTGTTCAAATGACCACTATAAAGAATTCCCGAAGAAACATAAAATAGCTATGCAGAATGGAAAAAAGTATATCCATACACTGGCATGGTATTCAGCCATAAAAAATGATAGCATAAAGAAGCACTTAATGACTAGAAAGAGATGTGTTTTATGTGGAAAAAGAATCAGATGAATGGCATATATGGCAAGATCTCATTTTATTAAAAAGTAATACACCTATGTAGTGGAGGGCCAGGCTGAGGCTCAGTGAAATATAGTGCATAACATCTTTGTCTTACTGTTCTCTTTAGATAGCTTGGGGACTTGTCTTCTTTTCTTCTTGGCATTTAAAAATGTTCCTTTTACTAGAAAGTTTATGAGCTTCAGAATCTAAATTTACAAATGACATTGGTCACACATTTATTGCTGTTTATCCACTTTAAGAAACAATTTTGTTATTTTGAAAAACAAATTGGGAAACCTTTCATCTTATTTGAAATCTATAATAAGATAACATGGAATTGGAATATAAATTTTCTTGGAAATATGAAAAAATAGTAAAATAGAGAAAACAAAAATATAATAATACACCTATACCTATATCTATGTTTTTATCTCTGTTTCTAGTTCTGTAAACTCTCTATATCCAAATCCTGGTAAATGACTTCAAGTCTTCTTGGAGAAGGCTAGGGGAAGATACCAGGTGCTTCCTCAAAAGGATCCAGTCTCCCATCCATTTGTGCTTCTCTGGGTCTATAAACTGTTCAAGTCTAGGAATTGTTGATGAACAATGAACTTCTTTTGCAGTAATTCAAGTCAGACTCTTATTCACTTGACCTAAATCTCTTCCGCTTATACACATCAAGAAACACTTTAGTCAGCTATCCATCTACTTCAGTTTCAGAGACTCTATGATCAATTAGTCCTGTAACAATATTCTCTTCAGTCAAATCATTCTGATTGCTGTTTCAGCTCTAATATCCATTACAAGAACCCCCATTGTCTCTGGCAATTAAGTGCTGCTACTTGGACTCTGCCACCCTGAGGTCCTTTGGTCCCCAAGTGAATTCAGAGAACCCAGTTCAATGGCAACACTTCCCATTGTCGTTCCTGTCCCACAGAGAATGAGCCATGGCAGAGGATGCTGAAACTCCCCATGTGAATGTATTCCTCAAGCCTCTGGTAAAAGGTCTATCTTCCGAACCCTCCACTCCTGCACTGTGCCTCACCAGCTTTATCCAAAGATGATCTTCAGAGTGGAATGGCTGTTGCTTAACTTCTGCCTCTCAAATATCGGCTAATTTCTCATGCTGTAACCCTAGTCCAGAACCATACAGAGAAACTAAGTCTGGAAAACTTAATTCCGAATTGGCCTGGTTGACACTGTACAAAACCCCCAGATAATTATAATTTTATTTAACTCTGTCTTCTTTTTTTTCTTTCCCTCCCTCCCTCCCTCCCTTCCTTCCTTCCTTTCTTTCTTCCTTCCTTCCTTCCCTCCTTCCTTATTTCCTTATTTTCTTTCTTTTTTATCACACTGGCTAGGATCACCAGTATAACATTGAACATTGGTACCAATAGATGCCATCCTTGTCTTGTTCCACATCTCAAAGTTAAAGTTTAAAACATTTCACCATTAAGCTGGTGTTTACTGTAGGCTTTTTGCAGATAACCATTTTTGAAATAAGGAAATTCTCTTATATTCTTCATTGTTAAAAAAATTTTTGGTATTTGAATCATGTTGAAGTTTATCAAACACTTTAGTTACATATATTGATGTAACCATATGTTTCTCTTTTTCTGTTAATGTAACAAATTGTTTTGAGTACATTTTTCAAAGGCAAATGATTTTGAATTTCAATTTTACATTCTTAAAATAAATCATCTTGGTCATAATATTTAATCATTTTATATATGGCAAATATGCTTTCATGATACATTTTAGTTGTTTCTATTAAAATATAATTAATGTATCATAAAAGTTACCTTTTTAAATTATACCACTTAGTGGTATTTAGTACATTCACAAAGTTGTGTGTTACGGTCTGAATGTTTGAGTCCACCCCAAATCCATATGTTGAAATCCTTACCCCTAAGGTGATGACATTAGGAAGTGAGGCCTTTCAAAGATGATTAGGTCGTGAGAGCAGAGCCGTCACAAATGGGATTAGCATCCTAATAAAAGAGGCCCAGAAGAACTCCTTTTGCCCTCCCGCCATGGGAGGAGATGCTAAATCTGCCAGTGTTGGTCTTGAACTCCCCAGCCTCCAAAACTACGAGAAATAAATTTCTACGGTGTACAAGCTAACCAGTTTATAGTGTTTTGTTATAGCAGCCCAAATAGACTAAGACATTGGGCAACCAACACTGCTAATTAATTCCAGAACACTTTCATCATCCCATTCCTAACATATTTGAGAGATTAGACTATAATTTTCTTTCTTGTAATGTCCTTAATAAGATTTTGATATCAAACTTATGACAGTCTTATAAAGTCAGCTGGTAGTGTTTCATATATTTGTTTCCTAGTAAGGGTTTATATAAGATTGGTATTATTTCTTCTTTAAAAAGAATTCACCAGAAAAGCCATATGGCCTGGAGTTTACTTTGTTGGGAGGTCCTTTTTTTTTTTTTCCCAATAATTTTCCTGTACCATGTAGACTTTTCACTGAAGTATAACATATATATATAGTAAAGCGCACACATCTTAATTATGCAGTTCAATGGATTTTTACAAAGTAAATGCATCCATGTAAAAGGCACTCAGATTAAGATATAGAACACTATCGGCACCCTAGAAGCCTTCCCGATGGCCTTTCCCAGTTATCTTCCCAAAATAACCAGTATTCTGATTTATAACACTAATAGTTTTGCCGCTTCCTAAATTTTATATTAAAGGAATCGAAAAATAGGTACTCTTTTGTGTCCAGCTTCATCTCAATGTTATATTTGGAAGAGTCATTTTTGTTTTTGCATGAAGGATTGTTGGGTCTTCTTTATTATTATGTTGTATGTCATTGATGATCCTGAGTACCTTTTCATATGTTTGCGAAGTGCCTATTCCAAACTTTTGCCTATTATTTACTAGTTTGTCTACTGTTTTGTTGTTTTGTAGAAGTTCTTAAATATTCTCATGTTTTCTAATAAATGTAACACAAATATTGTCTTTCAGGCCATGGCTTTTCTTTTTTCCTTCTTAATGTCGTTTGGTTATGAAAGTTCTACATTTTAATAATATTCAATTTATGAGTCTTTTTTTTTTCCCAGTTACTGCTTTTTCTATTCTACTTGAGCAGTTGGGCCAAGTGAGGTGGCTTATGTCTATAATTATAGCATTTTGGAAGGCCAAGGCAGGAGGATTGCTTGAAGTCAGGAGTTCAAGACCAGCCTGGGCAGCAAATTGAGACCCTGTCTCTACAAAAATAAATAAATAAATAAAATTAGCTAGACTCAGTGGCACATGCCTATAGTCCCGGCTATTGGGAGGCTGAGGTGGGAGGATCCCTTGAGCACAGGAGTTCAAGGCTTCAGTGAGTTATGGTGGTGCCACTGCACTGCAGCCCAGGTAACAAAGCCCTGTTTCTTATGGATAGGCAATTGATCTAATATCATTTGTTAAAAAGACTATTCCTTGCGTACTACAATGCGATACCACCATGACCATAAGTCAGGTGACCTTATATGTGGCTCTCATTCCAGAGAGGTTCTGTTTCATTGGTTTATTTGCCATACATTAGTTTATCTGCCATACTATAATGGCAAATAAACTATAGTCCTGCATTAAAATTTTAATTACTGTCACATTACATTAAGATTTGATATCTGGTGGCATATATCTTCTAACTGTGTTCATCTTCGAGATTTACTTGGTGATTCTTGGCCCTTTGCATTACCATATAAAATTTAGAATCAACTTGTCAATTTCCACATAAAGAATCCTACTTGAATTGGTATTAAGTTTCTGTTGACTCAGTAGATCAATTTGTGGACAAGTAACAAATTTACAGTTTTGAAGTTCAAATTTATGAATATGATATATCCTCCCATTTTGAAGTCTTCTTTAATTTCTTTTAGTAATACTTGTTAATTTACATTATAGAAGTCATGTACATATTTCATTATCTTTATTTTTACATCTTATTTTTAAAATTTCATTCTCTAATTATTTACTTCTTAGATACGCACCTGTTTCATCTCAGCTCCAGCAATTTTGTTAAATTTACTTATAAATTGAATAGTTTACCTGTAGATTCTTTTGAATTTGCTGTGTAATTATGTCATCTATGAACTGACAAAGTTTTTACATTTTTTCCTTTCTTATGTCTTTTGTTTATTTCTCTTGCTTTATTGCATTCCCTAGAACCTCCAGTACAATACTGAATAGAAGAGATGATACAAGGCTACAAGG